CGTGAGCGACCAAACCAGGGACTTCGTTGGGTGCTGCAGTACTGTTGATGATATAAATCCTGCATGACCTTAAGGACCCTAATCTATGGGAATTATGGTATATTCCTTATTATGGGTAATGCAGGATTTCTAGCATCAACCGCAGTCTCTGAAAGCGGGCATCTGCAGCTGCGAGCAATTTCGAAGGTTCAGCTTCAGGCTGCGCAGACTTCTCAAGGACCGGAGGGCATCTGCATAGCCTTTGCTAGGCTGTGATGGGGTTGTATAGTTCTGCCAAGGGGTTTAGGGCAACTTTAGGGGTTTTTCGGGGCTTTAAACTTAGGGGTCGCAGGAACTTAATCAAGATCTAACCCTAACACCAATAGGGAGACCGCATTGAATACTTAATTGCTACAGGTCTCTGCTAATTTTGCTAAGTTAAGAATAAGTAAGTTCCCGGTAGCTCGCGATGCCGGGACCAAGGATGTTGGCACAGCCTCGGAGGTTTAGCATAAAGTTCTCAAGGCTCGTTAGCCAAGACGAGACCGCAGTCATGAAGTGAATGATGCCCTCGTCGCTCACACGAGTGTTGGCCATGACCAAGTTCAGGTATTGAAGGTGCTGTTGGCTTTGAAGTGCTTTTGCCATTTGATGCAAGCCAGAGTCGCCAAGCCCAGTTTCGTAGACATTCAAGTTCAAAGCCAGCAATGGCGAAAGGGACTCGAGTGCATCGGAAAGTAAGGTCATGCCTTTATCACCGAATAGGGTCGTTCCGAAATCGAACTCCAAACGCCTCTTCGCCGAAATTTCCCAATCCTGGAAAGATGAGGATGTGGTGGTGGAGTCTTTCTCATGCTGGACCAACGGACGAAAGGCCGCGGACGATTTCAACATCTCTGCAATGCCAGTGATGCCTTCATCAGCCAGCAGTGTTTCGGAGAAGCCCAGTCTTAAATCGCGGACTGCAGGTAGCGACCCCAAGCATTTGGAGAGTTCCACGACGCCCGCATCTCCGAGAGCCGTGTTCTGGAAATCCAACCTATGGGGACTGCGCCCATACACTATAACAGTCTATAACAGGCAGGTATGAAGGGCCTAAAATATCTATGAAAGGCCTGAGATATCTACATTATTAATATGTATTCTTATTTAACTGTTACTGAGTAGGGGCAGTATCCAATCGAACCTCACAGTGCGAAGATTGCTGCAAGAACTCAGCGCCAGTGCGAGGTTCTTCGCCCCCGCGTTGCCCAAGCCAGTGTTCACAAAGCCCAAAACCAGCTCCTCCGAATCTGGAGTAGCTCAAGACCCCAAGCTCAAACTCAAAGTCCCTCGTAGTTGAAATCCTTAATGTGCAGCCCCTAAACTCCCAGAGCGCCGAAACACCTGACCCCATGAGCCCCTAAACAGCCTTACACCATCTGAGACCTGTCAACGGACGATACTGTCAAGCACGTGTCCCTGAGGGTGCATATGACCATGTAGCTATATGGGTCTTTCTCTAAATTAAGGCCCCATTTTAGGTCCCCAATATAGTACGGCACCCTTATCCCTTACAACAAGGACCCGAACAGGGACTTTAGAGAACTACCCTTATACTTTGGCCCTGGAGTACCTGCATAGAGAATACCGTAACCCAAAGGGTCCAAGTACATAGTTACCATATACTCTCCAAAAGAGTAACCTACATAACTACTCTCCCAAACCCGAGTACCCCAATTTTGGGTCCTTCGGACTCAGGTTAAGGCCGAAAGCATGTACAATACTCTAAACCCTAAACCCCTAAAGCCCTAAAGCCCTAAACCCCAAACCCTAAATCCTAAGCGAGCCCTTTGGGTTGAACACTGCAGCCACCTCCAAGGCTGGAGGAAGCGCTTTGCCTAGCAGCCCGGCAGTCGCATCGTCCATGCCCTTCCTGTCAGGGGCGGTTTTAGGCTTCAGCTTTAGGGTATAGTTTTATTATCATTAGTATTGTTTTCGATTCTTATTGCATTTTATCAGTATTACATGTAGTATTATTTTATACCAAGGATCTTCCCATTGAGAGACTCCAACAACCCTTAATGAAGGTATATACTCTAGATTGTAATAGGAACCCTAACCACAGTGCTCGTCGACACTGTCGAATACGCTTTAAGCGTCTCAAGAGACGTCAGCTGATTGGGTACCCCCGCATCATGATTGAAGGTCTGTGCCTTAATTAAGGAATATACCTTACAATATAATAGGAAGATTTAAGATCCGTTCCTTAGTTCAGGGGTGCTGGCGTTTCTAGGCACTGAGGTCAGAGCCCCAGTTCCCAAAGGGCCCTATAAGGGTTTGGGGTTTAGGGGCTTATAGGTATGAAGGATTAGGGGTCTAGGGTTTAGAGTTTAGGCTGAGTACCAATATAGCAGACAGCAGGGTAGTACAAAGTAGGGTTCCATAGTGGGAATTACTACTATGTTAAGGCAGTTTAGAGCAAGTATCCCTTCGTATAGGTGCTTAAGAACTCTTGGGATTGCACATGAAGGGGAACGCACAGTTGATATACCCTTTCTTCGAGGTGCTGTGCAAACACTGCCGGCTTCGCCCCTGAACCCTGAACTCAGAACCCCCAAACCCCTACACCCTGTTGCTTAGACTCCACCAAATTCCTCCAGAACTTTCCCCCGGCCGTTACAGCCCAATTTTCAAAACGCGAACCCCTGAACTCTACAAGCCCTGAGAACCCTACCACCCAAAACCATACTGTTGCTGGTAGAAATCCTGCATTCCCTTAAGGACCCTGCGCTATGGGATTATGGCACATTCCTAAATATGGGTAATGCAGGATTTATATTTTTATGATCAACCCTACCACCCTAAACCCTACCACCCTACCACCCCACCATCCTAAACCCTAAACCCTAAGCCCTAGGCGTTACGGCCCGAGCTGTTTGGGTAGCTCGCGCCGGAGACCCTAAGCGCGGCACGATTTGTGCCCGCGACGCCGACCG